GACTAAGAGGAAAGACCTAGAGCTACTGACATCATAGGTCGGCCAACGTAACACCCAGACAGATCATCCTACACAAGATTCCACAACTTACAAGTTCTAGCCCGGTTTTAGAGCAGTTTGTCAGACTTTTAGTCTCCCACGCTTAAAAATGAGCTAATAATCACAGATTATACTGTCAGGTGAAAATAGAGACTAAAATCAATAGAAAAAAGAAAAAAGAAACCAGGACAAAGCAGAAACTATATAGGAGAGAAGAAAACTTCAATAATAATAACCAAAAAACTCTACTCATATTTGAAATCCTTGTAGAAATAATATATTGAAAGCACAAAATAAAAACAATGTGTTCTTGGTCTGGGGATATAGCTCAGCAGCATAAGCACCTGCCTGGCAAGTACAAGGTCATCAGTTCGATCTCCAGCACCACAAAAAAAAAAACAAAAAAAAAACAAAAAAAAATGTGTTCTTTAAGAAAAAATAGTTAAGGAAAAAAACTGAGCTCTTGGAAATTAAAAATAGAAAGGAGAAATGAAACACTCATTTAAAGGATTAAAGATAAAGTCTAGGAAATCACCCAGAAAGAACAGCAAAGGTCAAGAGATGAAAATAAGAAAGAAAAGATAAGAAATATAGAAGATTAGCTCAGGAGTTCCAGGAAGAGAGAAAAAAGAAAAATAGGGGAAAACACTATTTATAAAAAGTTATTTCTTTAAAATTTCCCAAACCTTAAAGATGTTTTAGAGTTAAAAGGGGCTACTTAGTACCCAGCACCAATGGATGGAAATTAATCTACATCAAGTCATATCACTATGAAACTTCAGAATCTTGGGGATAAAAAGAAGATCATTTAGATTTCCAGAGATGGAAAAATAGACCATAAAAAAAGATGAGAAATCAGAATGACTAGATTTCTTAATAGCAGTACTAGAAGTTAAAAGACTATGTATTTAGAAATCCCTTCAAAATTCTAAAGGAAGAGCCAGGCATGGTGGTGCATGCCTATAATCCCAGCATTCAGGAGGCTGAGACAGGAAGATTGCTTCAAGTTGGAGGCCAGCCTTGGCTACATAGTGAGTTCAAAGCCGGTCTTAAACTACGTAGCGAGAGTCTGTCTCCAAAAACAAGTCTATAGGAAAATTATTTCCCACAAATCTAGAATTGTATACTCAGGTACACTGTACTGTCAATCAAGTGAGAGGGTAAAGGGGCTAGGGATTTAGCTCAGCGGCACAGTGCCTGCCTGGCAAGTGTGAGGTCGTGAGTTTGATTCCTCGTACCAGAAAAAAAAAAAAAAAAAAGGGTAAAATAAAGATAACTGGCTAATTGCAAGTTCTCGAAAATGAATTTCTCATGCAACTGTTCTTAGGAGGCTATGGGATGCCAGGGATATAGCTCAGTGGCATCAGCACCTGCCTGGCAAGTGCAAGGTCCTAAATTCGACTCCCAGTACAAAAAAAAAGGAAGCTATGGGAATAAATGCTCCACCAAAATGAGGGAAAAACCAAGAAAGAAGAAGGGAAGAAGACAGAGAACACAGCGAATAGGAACTTCTGCACAAGAGGTGTTATGGTTTGGGGGTATTTTGCAAGGGGAACAATATAATACAGGACATATACTTTATAAGATTATTTATAATAGTCAACCAAAGAATGAAATACAAAAGAGTACAGGAAATCTGTCCATACACTAAGACCAAGGAAACTAGCCTTGGGCCTGGATCCCACGGAAATGTCCTGCGTTAGTCCAGCTAAAGACCCAGAGCTCATAGCAATGCCTCCCACGAATCCAACTGGAGTCCCTGAGCCCATAACAATATCCCATGCAGGCCTGTTTCACGGATCTGCGCTGGGAAGGCCCAAAGGTCAGTGGTGAAATCTAGAAAGTCTGTGCCAGCAGACTGAAGGATCTGTGCTAGCAAACTGAGGGATCTGCATGGAGCCAGGGAGCAATGCTCAGAAGAACCAGAGCTCCCCTAAAAGGTACCACAGCCACTTTCAGCAACAGTGAGGTCCTGAGCTCCTCCGATGATCAAGATGGCCAAGTTCCCATCAGGGAAGCCAGCGCAGCAAGCTTCTCAGGAGACCGGCAGTGCACCATCTTCCCCTCCAGAGCCAGGAAGCAATGCTCAAAGTGAGGACCAGAGCCCCCCAAAGTGAACTAAAGCCATTCTCAGTGCCAATGAGGTCCCAAGCTCCTCAGAGGATGAAAACAGTCAAGTTCATCAGGAAAGCCAGCATGACGAGCTCCTCCAAAACAACCAACAGCTCCTTAGAGCTTCTACCAGCTCCCAATAGCCTTTCTCTGCTCCCAACAGCTTCCTTCTTCTCCTTCTCCTTCTCCAGTTCTGCTTGTTATGCTGCTGGCAACAAACCCCAGCTGGGCCTCCCACACCCAGCACCAGCTTACTCAGTTCTGCTGGGGGTTATAAGTTGACCACCAGTTATCAATCCACTACAGGAGGGAAGGTAGATTCTTAAGGAGATGGAGGGAGCAGATACCAAAGGGAAAGAGATTTCAGAATGTCAGCTGTATATCTGACAAATTTTGTGGGGCTGGAAGCTTAAACAAGTTGGAGAGAGTCTTTAACAGAATAAAAATGCAAACCTATACATACAAAAATAGATATAAAAGGGGCTGGGGATTTAGCTCAGCGGCACAGCGCCTCCCTGGCAAGCGCAAGATCGTGAGTTCGATTCCCGGTACCGGAAAAAAAATTTAAAAAAATTTTTTAAAAAGATATAAAAATAAATATATATTATTTACAACACAAGAGGAAATCCAAACATTATAAAACTATAGAAGCTGACAATGGGCCAGGGATATAGCTCAGCAGCACAAGCACCTGCCTGGCAAGCACAAGGTCCTGAGTTCAATTCCCAGTACCAAAAAAAAAAGAAAAAAGAAAAGACAGAAACCAGAAGCTGACAAATACCGTATGCATCACAAATCCAGAAAATAGAAAACAGTAAAGAGAAATCAGTGACAAAAAATATCAACACAGATACATGCATTTGGAAATAAAAACACACTACATATGTTTAGTAACAAATCACAATAATATTACAAAATATTTTTTAATGAATGATAATAATAATGCTGCCCACCAAGATTTGCGGAATGCTGGTAGAGCGGTACAAAATGGGATAGGTACTGTATGCCAAATCTGTGGGTTTCAATGTTGGTCCTCACACCAGCAGACTCACCAGGGAATTTGAGAGAAATGCATATTTCAGGGTCTACTCAACACTGACTCAGACATTCTGATTTCTTGTGCCTGAAAGTCTGTATTTTGTTTAAAAACTACTGCCTTAGATGAACACATTGAAAAACAGAGAAAGATTAGTAACTTAAGTATCCAGCTCAAGGACTTAGCAAAAGAACATTTAAATCAACCTAAAAGCAGTAGAAGGAATAAATAATGCTAAGATCAGAAATATTCTTTATCATCTTTTTTTTTTTGAGACAGTCTCGCTATGCAGTTCAGGCTGGCCCTGAGCTCAATTTGTCTCAGGCTGGTCTCGAACTCGCACGATCCTCCTGCCTCAGCCTCCCGAGTGCTGGGATTACAGGCATGCGCCACCATGCCTGGCTATCATCTATTTTAACGGTTTAAATTCAGTGTTAGGATCTCAGGAGACATTATCTTTCCTTCCACGATGTGACAATCCCAGTTTTCCTCCAGGCTGATTCTACCCGTAATCGGATCAGTGCAAGAAAGTTGGTCAAAAAAGAAAGTAATACATAGAATAATCTTCAAGATATCACATTACATAGATTTGTGTAGATATGTGCATAATTTTTTTCTGCACAGAACCATGAAATCTTAAAATGGTTTTGGAATGGAGAGGGATTTTGGAATAAGAGGCATGGGAAGTATTCACTTTTCTCTTTTAAAAATATTCTTACTGGATTTGAGTTTCTGATATTATACATAGATTATTTTTTTAATTGGACTGTGTGGTTACAAGTCATTTTTATTTCCTCTTTTGAAAACTTGGGTAGTACTACTGTCAAAAAAAAAAAATAGACATGTCCCAAACCTGGTCTGAGTAAGATTTTGTTTTTTCTATATGTAATTCACTACTTCCTTCTGGGAATAAGTTAGCACACCTAATAAAATGTGTAAATTTGCTGAAAAACTCTGAAGAAACTGAAAATGTGTGCTAAAAAGCCCAGTCACCCAATTATCAGAGTCTAATACCTTTAAGCAATTTTTTTGCATCTAGTGTAACAATAACTACTTCTATCAAATGTCCCTTTGGAGAGTAAATCTTAAAAAAAAAGAGTAAATCTTTATTGAATTGTCTTGTTAAACACTTTTTCCTTTACAGGAAGATTTGTAACATATCTAATGAGTGGCCATAAATAAAGGGCTTACTAAATTTAAAAATATTTATTATTTACTTATTTATTTATTTATTTAATTTTTTTGAGACAAGGTCTCACTATGTAGTTCAGGCTGGCCTCAAACTCACAGCAGTCCTCCTGCCTCAGCCTCCCCGAGTGCGCATGCGCCACCACGCCCGGCTAAAAATATGTTTTAAAATGAACAAATTTAGGTAATATTCACTTAAGTTACTAGTGTAAGTCCAAGGGTATGATGGATGATAGGGCATTAGAAATAGAATGCAGCTCATTCATTCCTCTGACAGGCATTGAGGGCCTGCCACATACGAGACTTCGACAAGTACTTCAGCGTCTACCGCGCGCCAGGCACTGTTTTTCGAGCTGCAGACACAAAAATGAACAAATGGTATTGGGGAAATGAAACTACAGTTCTCACACTGGTCTTGTTCTTCTGCCTCTCTCCATGGTGGGGGCTTCTTTCCTCCAGTCCCTGACCAGGATTCTAGGTGTGCGGAAAAGCCCCGCCCCGTTTCCCGCCCTTTCCGGACTCCGTCTAGGGGATGGACTACAATTCCCATGATGCCAGGCGAGCCCGAGGGCGCCCCGCCTTTGCACGCCGCGACGACTACAGTACCCAGAATACTCTGCTTCCCCCCCCGCCCCATGGGTGTTTTTGCCTCTTTTGCGGTGCGGGACGCGGTAGTGGCTAGCGGAGTGCCAGGCCCCGGGCTCTCTGTGCCCTTTTCCTGGGTCAGGGACTAGGCAGTGACTTGGCTCCTGGGCGCCGAGCCCGGGAGCGAGCGCGGGCGGCCGCCGTCACTCCCGCGAGTTCTCGTCCCGCTTTGCTTCTCCCCTGCTCCGAGCGCAGCACTTGGACTGTCCGGGACCGACGGCCCGGAGCACGGTGACCCTCGCGGCTGCTGGGGCGGAGACCAGACTACAGCCGCCGGACTGCGGGAGCGCTGGGGACGAGGACGAAGAGCAGCAGGGAAGATGGCGTCGGAGCTGGAGCCCGAGGTGCAGGCCTTCGACCGCACTTTGCTGGAATGTTCGGCCGAGGAGACCGCGGGGGTGAGTGGCGGGGCCGGGCGGGCCGCGCCCCGAGAAAACCGGCTCCCGGAGACCCCGGGGCCGCCGGCGCTGGCGGGGGTGACGGCCGGGGCCGCGGGGAGGCCCCCGATCCGGGGTCTCCCGGAGCTGTGCTGTGCCCGGGCCGCCTTCCCATCTGCCTGGCGAAGCCTCAGCGCTTGCACTCTTCCTTGAAGTCCCCGACACCCGGGCCTTTGCCCTTTATACCAGCGCTTGGAAGAGGGGAGGGAAGGAGACGCCTCCTAGTGTTTTCGGGGTAGCAGTCCTGCTTCACCTTCCTGATTCCTTTTTCTGGAATAAGTGGAGCCGTCAGCGCCTCGGCCGCTGAAGCGTGCTGCCCTGCCCACGTCCCGACTTTGTTTCTGGAACCAGCCGAGGCTGGCAAGAAAGGTGCTAACAACGCTGCCCCCCCCCCCATTTAGTGCTTATTATTTTTTCCCCTATTTTTGCACTGATCGAGCTAGTGCAGTGTTGATGCCTGTGTGGAGGGTACACTGTAAGTGAGCACGCGGAGCTACGAGTGGAGGCTGGAAAACCAGAACAGTTTTTCTAGGAGTTGGGTGAAGTTGGACGGAGAGTGAACGTTATATAACTTCGAGAGAGCAGCTTTGGTCAACAGACAGAAGCTTAGGGAGCGTTAGTCCCAGCTGGATAGGCCCCACACTTAAAGCATTCAAAGTCAGGATGTGATGTACATATGCTAGTCTGAGTTGTAGAATTGTACAGTGATTACTTTAATAAATTCACTGGCGCCTTTCCCCCAGGAAGGACAGGGAACACTCGCTAAAACAGATTGTCCACGGGGATTAGGAACGGACCAAAAACAACTCAGACCCCACCTCTAGATCCTCCGCTTTAAGCTGCTAGGAACCATTAGGGAAGTCAGCAGTCCGAACGTTCCCAGCAAAATGGGGAGGGGGCCTCTGTGGAGGTGTTGGTCAGGGAGTAATTCGGAGTGAATTTGTGAAGGTCAAGTAGAAATGAATGGCAGGAGTAGAGGTGAAAAGTTTAAAGAAATACAGTGTTGAGTGATGAGTCTTGGCTGCGTTTTGTTGTAATTTTTTAAAGGCTAACGTGCTTGTTCCGTCTAAGTCTGTTTTCATTTATTTTCAACTTCATTATGACACAACCTAAGGTTTTTCAGCCCATCTGCCCTTGTTTATCAGAGACAGGAAGAAGAAAATGAAAGTCATGCTGCAAGTAAACAGGAAAATAATAACAGCTATTCACTGGCCGTGTGTCTACAGTCATAAATGCCTGATCTGTTTGTCTTAAAGCGGTATTTTCTTTCTCCCTGAATTTTGTGTCTGTTAGCCCAGTCATACAGACTGCATCCTCCCTTACCCCTTTTCTGAAAGTCGAGCCATTCAGTGGTCAGAGCTGTTCTACTGTGTTGAGGTTCCTGAGGAAACCAGCTATAAAAGCAGTGCTGGAATCCAGTGCTTTTTTTTGGGGGGGGGGAGCAACGGTGAGGATTGAACCCAGGGCTTTTATGTTGAGCTAGATCTTCAGCCTTTTTTGTTTGTTTGTTTTGTTTTTTTTCCTGTACCGGGAATCGAACTCACGACCTTGTGCTTGCCAGGCAGGCGCTGTGCCGCTGAGCTAAATCCCCAGCCCCTAGCTTTTCTTTTTTTGTTTTTAGATAATTTCGAGACAGAGGCTTGCTAAATTGCTAAGCTGCCCCGGCTGTGCTCAAACTTGCAACCCTCCTTCCTCAGCCTCCCAGAATGCTAGGATTACAAGTGTGCACCATCATACCTGGCCTGTGCTCTTAGTTTTTGTGCAAATTCTCAAGCAGACATTTGAGGGGAAATTAAGGGAAATACAAAAAAAAGTATTCATTGGAACTTGAGTCTTCGTAGTTTTATTTAAAGTTCTAGGCTTGTGTAGGTTATTTATGGCTTTAAAATTTTAAAGTTCCATAGCTATTTAACTCTCATACTGTGTACAAGTCAGTGGTTTTTAGTATCTTCACAGAGTTCTGTAACTTTATGTTACTAATCAATTTTAGGATATTTTGATCACCCCAAAAATGAAATTATAAATTATTTTATTACAAATTATTTTTATTATAAATTGTTTTTATCTCAAAGCTTCCAAAGTTTAAGTAATTAATCTGTTCTCTGTCTCCATAGATTTGCCTATTCTGGACATTTCCTAGAAATTAGGATCATACAATAGGGCCAGGAATATAGCTCAGCCGCACAAGTGCCTGCTTGGCAAACACAGGGTCCTGAGTTCCATTTCGGGTAACAACAATAACAACAACAAAAAACAAGAATCATACAATATATTGTCTTTTGTGACTGGCTTCTTTCAGCAGAATGTTTTCAAGGTTCATCCATGTTGTGGCTTGTGTCAACCCTTTATTCCTTTTTATTGCCAAGTGATACCCTTTTGTGTGGATAAAGCACATTTTACCCATTCATTAATTGATAGGTATTTGGGTTGTTTCCCCTTTTTTGGATGTATGAACCATGCTGCTATGAACGTTTGTATACAGTTTTTTGTGTGGACATTTTTATTTCTCTTGGCTGTGTACCTAGGAGTAGAATTCCTGGGTCATATGTTAATAACTCCTTTGAGGAACTGCCAGACTGTTTTCCAGAGTAGCTGCCTCATTTCACATTTCCACCAGGGCTGTTTGAGTGCTCGGTGCCTTTACATCCTTGCCAGCACTGGGTGTGGGAATTGATCATAGCTGTTCTATAGGATGTAGTGCTATCTCATGATTTCGGTTGCCATTTCCCTGGTTGCTTATGATATTGAACTTTTTGTGAGTTGATTGGTCATTTGTGTATCTTTTTTGCCCATTTTTATTTAGGCTTTTTGTTTTTTTTTTACAGTTTCTGTATTAATTGTTTTTAGTTGTAAATATTCTTTTTATTTCATCTGTAGAGCTCTTAGTAGAATTTGTTTAAACTTTTTAATTAGTTCCCAAACCTGCATTGGAGCACTAGTGTTGTTTTATGATTAATTTGCATGTTGCTTATCCTTATTTGAAAGTAAAAGCAAATGTGGCTAAAGGACATAATTTTAATTGACTGTAGAGTAATAATTTGATGCTACATTGAGAAGGCTAATTTCTAGAGATTCTTTCTTTTTTGCATTTATTGTTTTTTTTGTTTGTTTTGTTTTGTTTTGGTTTGGTTTTTCTCCGGTACCGGGAACCGAACTCACGGCCTTGCACTTGCCAGGCAGGTGCTTTGCCGCTGAGCTAAATCCCCAGCCCCTGCATTTATTGTTCTTGCTCTGTGTCCCAAGGCATAAATTTGGCATTTAGTAAAAGGATTGCTCCTGGAAACATTGTCATAGCATGTTTACTTTAGTGGAATGAGTTGACAGTTTCTTTACTTCCCTTGAGTGATTTTATTTATAAGATTATAAATCCTTACTACTGTAGTGCCCTTTGATGTGACAGCTACAGGTTTCTGAAATAAGGACAGATTAAAATGGATCCACATTAGAAATCTCAGTAATTTTTTTCATGTTGAAGAAATACTTACGGTCAGCATATGATAGTGGAACTGAATAGAGAAAGCTCTAGATTTTATTTCTTTGCGAAATGCATGAACCATTATTTAGAAAGGCAGTTCCAAGTTTTTCTTTATATACAAAGTCTGTAAGTTTAGTCAGGCTCAGGTACCCACAATGGGGCCCAGGTCTGTTAGATTTTTCACTTAATGGTAATAACCCTCCCCCGCCCCCATTTTGGGCAGTGCTAGGGATTGAACTCAGGTCCTTACATGTACTAGGCAGGCACTTTACTGCTGAGCTGCACATCCAGCCCTGGTAATAAACTTTTAAAAGATGGAAAACGTATGTCTGCCTTTCTTGAACCAGATTTTTAAGTCTTTTTATTATAATAGATAATAAAATGATATTTAAAACGAGACACTTGTTTTACCAAAAATGTGTTTTACGTGGTGTCTGATATTTTTTTTCTTAACCAGAAGCTGATACTAGCTTCTAAATTTTTTTGTTGAAGGAATCTATGAAGATACTTGACCTGTTTGTTGCTAGAGCCCCAATACTACATAATCTACATGATTTATTTTAGTAAGCTTTTTATTCTCCTCAGGTTAAAATTCTACAAAGGTTAAGTCTTACAAGAAATAGGAGCATAAGATATATGGAGAACAGAAATTGCTTTTTAAATAAAACCTTTCATTTTGTTGTAAATTAAAATTGTCTGAATTCTTTCAGACTTACTGCTTAATTTTTATTCACAAAGAATAAACTGCATAGGATATTTGATTAGTTTTATTCAGTTTGCCCTGACGGTGAGTAAAACATTGGCCCTCGGACATTGGCCCTCGGACGCGGCCAGCAAAACTCTTAGCTCAAAGTTAAGATTCTGAGTTTGCTTGTTAGTAATTCTTTGCCTTCTACTTAAGAAAAATACCTTAGATCTGGGCATGGTGGTGCATGCCTGTAATCCCAGCATTCAAGAGGCAGAGGCAGGAGGATTGCTGTGAGTTGAAGGCTAACCTGGGGTATATAGTGAGTTCAAGGCCAGCCTGAACTACGAAGTGAGACCCTCTCTCAAAACCGCCCCCCCCTCAAAAAAATCACCCTGTGCTTTTATGATTACTGAGCTGAGAGTATGTACATGCATCCACACTCATGTACACCGTTTTGATTTGGAGCCACTAAAGGGGTGAATCCTTAAAAATCTTGGGATTGTCTGATAAGATTCAGCCTCCTTCCTACTTACATAAGGCAAAAACAAAGAATAACAACGTTTGGAAAATGTAATTTTACCTTAGGGTGGAAACTCTTTGTGTTTGATTATAAGCATCCGTTCAGTATCTTTAGGAACAAAATTTCTAGATTTTTCGTAAAAGTTCTTCAATAACATGAAATTAACTAGAATGTTAATATATCCCACCTCATGAATATTTAAAATCTCTACATGTTATTTTTAGAAGGAGGGAAGTAGGCTGAAGATTGTACAAGTAACAGTTAAAATGAAGACCTTATGTTGACTTCTGGTGCTAGCCCTTACTTGAACATACGCTTTCTTAACAAAGATATAATTGGAATTTAGGTAATCCACAGATAAACATTGAATCTGTGAGTTGCGTTAGCAGTTTACTAAAATTGCATTTGAGTAAAAGTGAGTCACTTTATTTCATGTTTTCTGATTTTATATTTTTTAGTGTCAAAATGACTTACACATTACACAAAGCAGTATGGGGAACAAATAAGTAGAGACAGATGACAGAGGAGACAGATAAATGACAGAATAAAGGAAGGGACAGAAAGAAACAGGGAAAAGAAAAGAAGTGGTTTGAAGGGTGCCTTTCTAGAGCTTTTTAGGGTTAGTTTTAACTGATCCAGGCTGTAGGCCTGGATCTGCCTTGCCTTTCATTAAAACCCTGTGGAGCCTGAGCGTGGCGTTTCATGCCTGTAATCCCAGCACTCAAGAGGCTGAGGCAGGAGGATCATCTGAAGTTTGGGGCCAGCCTGGGCTACATAATGAGACCCTGTCTCAAAAAAAAACAAAAAACAACCCTTTGGGATGAGGCATCTTTCTGGAATGTCAAGTAAGTAGCATAAATGTATTTATAGTCATTTAGTTTTACTAAATGTTCACTAAGGCCACGTCCTGTTTTAGACGTGAGGATAGGGGAAAGGGAGGTAGGTGTGGGGAATGGACTGAGAAGACTTCTTACAGGAAGTGAAACAAATTGAGATCTGGAAAATAGCTTTGTGAAGCAGAGACAGACAGACACAAAGATAGAGGCAAAGACAGAGAAAAAAATTGGGAGATAGGATGAAACCAAAGGCGTTGTAAACCATGTCAGGGGCCTAGATAGGTCTTCAATGTAATGGGAAGTTGAATGACTTGATCAGATTGGTATTTTGCAAAAACTGCCCTGGTGGTGAAGTTAGAAAGTGGGCTGCAGAGAGCAAGGCTGGTGGAGACAGCAGTCAGCACGCTGTCGCGCTCCTCCTGCTGATGGGGCAGGGGTTTGGGCTAGCACAGTGGAGAAAGGGATGGATTCAAGAGCTCTTTGGGGAACCTAACAAGGTGTTGTGACTGATTGAGTGTTGGAGTGACGGAGAATGAAGATTTTCCAGTTTCTCTGGTTTGTATACCTAGGTAAATGCCAAACTAGGGAAATGAAGAAAATAACAGGTTTTCATGAGGGGGGAGCATCCGGAGTTCAATTCTGAATATACTAGATTGGCACCTGTGTGATATCTAATCAGTTGGATTAGGAGACGGAAAAGTGGCTGTTTTGGGTTTGGTTTGTGGTAGGGAGAACAAAGGGGAAAGGCCTGAGGAAGAGGTTGATCAGGGAAAGAAGGCTCACTGGACAGGACAAAGACTTGGGGTCCGATGTGTAGAAGACACCACTCATTCATTAATCAGTAAGAGCGGTAGCTGGTGTGCTTGCTACTTGTGATCACTGCCTGTGCTTTCTTGCATGGGGCGCTGACGTGAGAACCGTGGGCTGGTCAGAACAGCTTTTGATCATTAGTGGGAGAGAGAAGTCAGCTGAGCTCCACAGCTGGCCTCTGATAGGACTCCTTGCAGCTTTCCTGTAGCATCTAGCGATGGTCCCTTCAAGCATCATTATGAGGAGAGGGTTTGTTTCATTTTAATTCCCCTCCGACTTTAAAGTAGAATTCTAAAACATTTGGTTTTTTAATAGATGAAATTTCTAACGTACAGTGGTGTCATAAACAATATATAACTTTCATCATTGTTTTCGTACCTAAAAGAAAGTTGGGTATAGTTGTTTAAAGTAGCAGTTAACTGACATTGTTTAAAACTTTTTTTTTCTTTTTTTAAAGAGATGGCTGCAAGCAACTGACCTCACTAGAGAAGTATACCAGCATCTAGCCCACTATGTACCCAGAATCTACTGCAGGGGTCCCAACCCTTTCCCACAGAAAGAGGACATGCTGGCCCAGCATGTTTTGTTGGGGCCGATGGAGTGGTACCTTTGTGGTGAAGATCCTGCGTTTGGATTTCCAAAACTTGAACAAGCAAACAAGCCTTCTCATCTTTGTGGTCGTGTTTTTAAAGTAGGAGAGCCTACATACTCTTGCAGGTAAAATACTACAATTTCTTTTCTAAAGATTCTTACTTTTTAATGACCTCTTTTTTTCTCTCTCTGAAACCTTAAGTTTTTTTTAATTTTGAAGTTATGAAATATGGTATGTACGCATAAAATTCCATGGCACAAACATGTACTGTCTCATAAATAATTATAAAACAAATGCTCCACACGATTATTTTCCAGAGGAAAAACTAGGTGTCATCAGCATTTCAGGAGCCTGCTGGGTGCTTTCTTCCTCCATAATTAGCTGCTGTCTTGGAACTTGCAGCGGTTGCTCCTTGGTTTTCTTATTTTGTTTTGTTTTTTTAGCTATAGTGATTCTTTTTGATGTTCAGATTGCCCCAGAATTGGCCAGCGGGAACTCCAGCGCACTAGCCTCTCTGTCCTTTTCACACACCTGCGTTCGTTTTGGAAGCTTTCTTTCCCTCCTAACACAGGAGGGCGTCCGCGGCGTTCTTCCTACCCACTCTGACTGTATGTACAGTCAGTCGTTCTCCCAAGGGTTAGGAGCTGGAGCTAGAAAATAAGATCTGGAGCTAAAAGTACTTAATGTAACTAGGAAAACTTGACTTTTTAAAATGTTTCTTGGTGGAAATTGAGTACACAAGAGTAAAAGAAGAATAAAGTGTCCTGGCTCCCTTTTGACACTCCTGTTTCCTGGAACTAATCGTTGTTAACAAATTCTTATTCTGTACCCTTTAGAAATTTTCTCTGCATATGTAGACCCATATACGTGGCTATGTTCAATATACATACATGCACACATATAGATGACAACGGAATGTGTTAAATACACTGGGCTAAATTTTCCTTTCTATATTAGACAAAAGCTTGACATCTTTACATTCACTTTAATCAGCAAGAGACTATCCTGTTGTGTTGATGGAGCTATTAACTTTTCCTTAAAATACTTTCCTGTAAGTTGAGCATGGTGTCACATCCCTATATTCCCAGTGTTCTGGGAGACTGAGGCAGGAGGAATCCAAGTTTGAACCCAGCGTGGGCAACTTAGTGAGATCCTGTCTCAAAATAAAATAAAAGGCTGGGGATGTACCCCATATCACTTCACCTCAAGGAAAAATTCCCGTAAAGTTTAAGCGAATTTTGGTTAAGGTAAAGCCTTTAGGTAGCTGTGATTCTATGGTAATGTTTTTTTATTAGCATGGTGAGAATATCAGTGGAGAACATTTTATATACTGAAATAGAGTTAGCTCTCTCTGGGCATGGTGGAGGATTGTTGTGTGACCTTGTTTTGGAAAAAATGAGATACTGTTAAATTTAGTTTTTAAATGTCTTTAACCTTCTGGCTTGCAGATGAGGAAACTGGGATCTGGTTGCCCCAATAATGTCTTCTACTGAAGGGATCTAGTTCCAAATCATGTCATATCTTTTTTTTTTTTTTTTTGGTTTTGGTTTTCTCCAGTACTGGAAATGGAACTCACGATCTTGCGCTTGCCAGGCGGGCGCTGTGCCGCTGAGCTAAATCCCCAGCCCCCCATGTCATATCTTTTAATCTTCAGTCTGAAATATTTTCTCCATTTTTCATTAACCTTTATGATCTTGGCACTTTTTGAAGATTACAGACCAGTATTTTGTAAATGGCCCTCAATTTGAGTTTGTCTGGTTTCATGTGTAGATTCAAGTTATATCTTTGGCAGAACTGCCACAGAACTTATTTGTGATAGCCCTTTCTTGTGGCTTAGGGTTTTGCGTTTAACTGATGATGTTGATCGTTTGATTAAGGAGATGTCAGCAAGACTTCCGGGAAAGTTACTCTTTTTCCCTGTGTAATCAGTAAGTATTCTGTTGGGGGGGAATTTGTTACTAATAGATACCCTCCTCTTTGTCAGACTTTTAGCTTGTTTGATTGTCTTTGTGATACTGAGGATGGAACCTGCAGTTCATTTGTGTCAGTATCTAATCATAATAAAATGGCCCTAGATTTGGCCAGTAGGGGCCCTTTAAGCTATCTTTGTACTTTTTCATATCCTCATCATTCTTAGAGCACTTCCTTTCTCGCTGGCACAAGGTGTCCCAGAAACAGCTTAAGGTTTTCCTTAAGACTTCAGACTGTTTTGCCAAGAAGGCTGGTTCCTGCTAGTGTAGGATGATGTTCAGAAATAAGACAGCAGGTGGATGGGGGTGCTTGTTGCTGGGATTGGGGGGCACTACTCCCAGGCCCTCTTCATGGATCTATATATATATATATATATATATTTCCCCATGGATCTATATTTATTTTGTATCTGTATAAGCATCGAAGTGGGTATCAAAACCATGCATTTATAGTGCTCTCTCCAGTTCCAGTTCTTACTCTAAGGTTCTTTGCAGTTTTTTCCCTTTGTTTGTTTTTAACTCTCTGGTTTGACAGGAGGAAACTTTAGTCTCCCTTTCCTCAAAATACTTACTTACCTGATTGTTCCTCTATGTGCAACCATTCCTTTGCTTTTTTGCTGCTGCTCCCACCTGACTGTCTTGCACATTGCCCTCCTTACTCCATTAGGGCTCTGTAACGGGGGTGTGGGCTGTTCTGGGCCTTGGTGGCATTTCTGCACTTCTTGCTTTTTTTTTTTTTCCCGGTGCCGGGAATCAAACTCACGACCTCACGCTTGCCAGGCAGGCGCTGTGCCGCTGAGCTAAATCCCCAGCCCCTGCACTTCTTGTTAGGGCAGATCCAAAATAAGTCTTGTTGCAGAATACATGGTTCTTACTCCACAGTGTGTACTTTCTGTTGCCTCACCTGGAGTCTGTGCTGACCAGAACTCCGGAGCCCTGCAGCCTTACTTGCTACGCTTCCTGGGTCTTTATAGTACTCTGAGTTCCTCAGTAGCCACTCTCTAGGGAGAAGGTAGCCCAGCTCCACCATGCAGACTTCCCACTTCCCCATCCTGCGCCCTTCCACAGAGTTCAGCTACCTTCCTGCCCTAGGCTCAGCTCCATAGGACCTCCCTCTTTGCTCCGACTCTAGCTGTCTGTGCCACAAGTGTAGTGGAAACATCCCCCTCGGTAAGAGTCGGACCGTCCCAGGCTCACCTCTGCATTCCCCTTCCCCTTGTCATTGCAGAAGTGGAAGTCCCAACTCTGGTGTAATCAGTGAAAGTTGCTTATTTTTGCTGAGCACCTTCTGGGTGTCAAATTGAACACCCTTTTGAAATAATCATGTTTAATCCTTCCATAGCCTCTGAGATAATTAATATCCTTGAGGAAAGAAAGTGAGGCTCCAAGAGGTTAAGTGACTGCCCTGCAGTCATAAAACCTGAAATCAGGTCTGATGATACAGAGGGAAACCAAACCTAAACTCAGTTCCTGTTTCTCCTGACGTGCACTCACAGCACAGATCCCATCTGGGGCCCTGAAACGTGTGGCAGTGTCTCTTCCTAGCAGGCAGGCAGTCCATTGTGCACTGGATACCAGCTGTGCATCCTCCAGTTCACTTCTGACTGTCTGCCAGGAGACACCCAGTCCTGCAGGCTGAGGACTCACTTCAGCCTTCCGCAACTGTAGACCCTTGGAACGTGCGACTGACGAGCTACTAGTTGGAGTTCCCAAGACTCTGTTCTTTAGTTGCAGTAGTTTGTGAGAGTGGCTTACAGAACTCAGGGAAGAATGTTTACTAGTTTATTATGAAGGGTATGATAAAGGATGCAGATGAGCAGATGCATAAGGCAAGGCGTTGGAGAGCTGCCATGCCCTCTCTGGAAGAGCTTACTTCTAAGTTACCTCCAGGTGTACAGCTGCCGAGAAGCTCTCCAGAGTCTGTACCTTGGGGCTTTGCTGGCATTTGTTTAATTATGGTATTGGGGATTGAATTCAGGGCCTTGTGCATGCTAGTTACGCCCCAGGTCTTTTATAATTTTATTTTGAGACAGGGTCTTGCCAAGTAGTCCAGGGCTGGGCTGGATCTCACAGCCCTCCTGATCAGCCTCCCAGAGTGTAAAGATTACCGCCGTGCCCAGGTTCCGTGTGGGATTTTATGGGTGCTTGTTGCATGAGCGTGATTGAAGCACAGACAGCTGTGTAGAGACGTGGCCAAAACTGCTTATCTGTCGTGAACTGTAGACTGAGCAGGGACGCTTGGCAAAGCCTCTGCAGATTCTCCTTGGCCTCTGTGAAGCCCTCTTTCCTGCCAGCTGTGGGACAGTCCCCATTCTGGAATGGGGGTTTCTGATCAACTATCAGAGAATTTATTTATTGCCAACTCCAAGACAGAAAGACAGGGCGAGATTAGAGTGTATTTTTAGTTCCTGTGGCCCAGTTTGGGGAAGAGAAACAGAACAGGTGAAAGGAGGACAGGAGAAGGTCAGAGAAAGAGTTTGCTTTCTGAGGCCCCAGAATTATTTTGTTCACTTAGAAAAGAGTAAAGGCAATAGTAGTTATGAGCCAGGAACTATGGATAAATACGCACACAGATCAGAATATCACAGTGGGCTTCTCTGATTCTAAAGTCCATGTTCTTTTCACTTAACGTCTTCTAGTTTCACGTATTGGTCTGTTACGCAGTCTTCACTCATACACAGTAAAATGAAAAATGGAGTGAAATTTTCTTGCAGCAAAACTGAAATTCTTAGAAATGTCTTTTGTTAAAAATATTGTATATGAAATGATGTCATTGAACTAGTTAATTGTGCTTTGGAAGGGGAAGGGAGGGTACCAGGAATTGAACTCAGGACCTTGCGTTTGCCAGGCAGGCACTTGTGCTGCTGAGCTATATCCCCGGCCCTGTTTTTTTTTCTTCTTAATGCTCTTGGTAAAAAGAAAAATATTAGCAACCCTTTCTTTGGTTTTTCTGTTCCTCACTAAAACTTAGAAATTTGGGAGCTGGTACTGTTCTGGTTCCTAAGCAGAAAATCAAGTTGTATTCTAATGCTACTTTGTATACCACAAAGTCATGCAAAAATATTAAATAAAAGTCCTTTGGGCTGTAGAAAGCGCTGTTGGTGACTTGTGACCATAGACCTGGCCTCAGTCCTCTCTTTCGTGATCCTCAGTTA